CTCTCTACAATTTCCTGTCCTTTGTAGCTTTTAATATATTTTGTCCTTTTTTTTTTATCTCTCCTAAGCCTAGTTACACAAGCTCACTAGGTAGGTTGTTTGCCTCTGTCTTTCTTGGCTTCGATCTGCCCTGTGACCATCAAATTTTCCAAACCCCCTTTCCTCATTATGTGCATTAGAAATTTTATTTCTCTCTCTCTCTTTCTGATGTTAAGTATAAGTGGCCTATTTGTTTCATTTTTCTCTTAAACTTCTTCGTTGCACACATGTTCAATCCATGATAGTCTCAATATCTTTCTATAGAACCATATTTTTGTTGCTTCAAGTCTCTTGACAAGATTGTACAGCATTCACTGCCCTATATTACTTAACAGTTCAGTTCTCTTTTTTTCTGTTACTAACGAAATTTTCTGTTTCTTAATACTTTGCTTAGTTTTTGGAAGTCAGCTTTCCCATGTCAGTATCGTACTTTCCGTCCTCTGTTTTGTACTTATTTGGTTCGGTTACATCCCATTTGTACTTGCATATTGTGAAAAATATACACGATATATCCGGGGATATATGGGAAACACTGGTTAATTTTACATCGGAAAAGACTGGTAAATCTTTTCAACTTCTCCGAGTAAGACCTGCAGCATATCCATGATTTTCCAGCGGCATTTGTGACGAAGTGTATAGGTCAGCCAGTGGACTCACTCTTCATGATAAAAGTAAATGTACAGATAATCAGATTGCTGTCGGGAGACTTGTCTCGACTCAATCTGGAATGATTTGCGAGTCACTTGCGGGTTTTATGAGCTATTTAAGATATCATCAAGGAATCATCCCTAAAATGTTCATTTAGTGCTGTCTTACTCTGTCAAGCGTCGACTTCCACCATGTTTGTATGTATGCTTATATATTTACATATATCAGTATCCTCTAGTTATATGATTCATCAAGAAATTCGTAGTCTGACACGTTGTTATTAATTAAATTTCTTTTAATTTAATTTTCTTTGAACTGTTCAGTTTAGTATTCGATATATGTGGTTAATATTAATCCGGTGCACTGATAAGGAAAATGATCATGTGAATAATATATGCTGCACATAATTTTCTCTTTATTAGGCTACGGGCTTATTGATGTACCTATATATGTCAATAACAGTTATCATTGAATTAAGGGCTTTGTCAAGGAGATTGTGCTGAAAAATAAATTTCCGTTTACTCTAAATGCCTTTTTATCATTGTACTTTGTGGAGCAGCATGTATATCTCTGAGATGTAATTAAATACACACGGGCGCACATATATGTATGTGTATGTGGTTGTGTGGGAGTATGTGAATTTGTGTGTACCTTTGTAACTGTGTGACACTCGTACATGTTTGACTGCGCGTTTGTGTTTTTTTGTTTATGTATGTCCATATTTCTATATTTGGATCTTCGTATTTACATGTTTAGATGTAGATGTTTAGTTGTGAAGGTGTTTGAGTGTGTATTTGTGTACATACATATGTGTATGTCCGTGTTTAAGTGTGAGTGGGTGATTGTTTATTACACTGTTTCGCTAACACATCAGTTTGTACATTTTCTTTCTCGCAAAATTTGCTATTTAAATTTCTACAAACCCAAAATTAATCAGATTATCCCCTGATCTAGTAGATCATCGTGTCTTGATTTGTTTTCTTGAGGAAACCTGGATTATTTGTTTGTGCCAATCTTCTCTTCAACCAAATGACAGATTGTAATTGTTTGCATGGTTATAGCACTCTGAAATGGTCTACAAGGAGTGATGTTCATATATTTGAGAACTTTAGAAGAAAGGGAATTTATCGGCTGCTACTAATTAACGCGAAAGCTCTTCGCTCTGAATTGAACACTCTAGTAGCCGGTAATGCTTATATCTCGTATATAATGCCTTAAAAATTCATTTTCTCCGCTGTGTGCGCTGATAGACATAAATACATCACACGAAAAAAACTTTTCCTCTTTGTCATTAGTTTTCCTAAAAGACAAGATGTGAATACAAACAAAAGGATGTATATGTTAGCCACAATTGTCAGTGAAAGTCAGATGTGGGATTCAAGATGGACTTATTCTCTGCGGGCTGTTAATGAAAGATGGCCGCTGCATTATGTACAACTATTTATATTAGATTAGAATAATATAACTTCTCATCAAGTTTTTGTAAATGAATATTGATCAAACATATTGAAGTTTTTTTTTTTTTGGTTATTCAAGATCACCAACATATTTGTTAGTGAGTTTTTAAATATGTGCTTACTTCTGAAAAATCAATATATACGCTATAAAACTAATAGCACTACATGTAAAGAAAGACTCAAAATAAAGCTTATACAAATAAATCAGGCCACATCAAAAACAATATCTTTTACTCGTAGGGAAGGGATTTTAAAATGTGTTTAAAAATTATAATATATTCGTCATTGTCATATTCTGTGATCCAGAACGGAATATTTTTTTAATGTGATATGTATATCACTTACATAGTGTTACAAAACATTCGAAACATGGCATCACTTGCATTCATCACGCGGATATTTACATTAAAATTATAGCAACTTCAATAATGGCAGGAGAAAGTTAATCAAAACTTATCTCTTTTGTAAAATATAACATTAAACTTCTTGATATTGACTAGCGATGATGAAAAATACCTGAATAAAACATGAACTTCAGATAGTTTTTCATAGATTGGATCAGATATACGAGAGATTATACGCAAACTGCCAAAGTACTTTGTATATACATATATGTATATATCTTTACATTACACACAACACACACACACACACACACATATATATATATATATATATATATATATATATATATATATATATATATATATATATATATATATGAATTGTGTATCGAGGTTTTTGATTGTGAAAGCAGTCCTGTAAAGAAAATGGAAATAGATTTTTTTACGATTTATTAACACTTTGCAGATTATCTAAAGCGACAAAATATCTTTAGATTGTCTGATATTTTTTAGATGATGATTTCGCTATATATTCCTTACTAATGACCCTAGAGCTGGGGGGGGGGATTAATCCCTTTCCCAAGAGTATTTGCGTGTAAGTGAATATAATGAACCCAATTGAAATTTTAACTCGGCTATCCGATTAAAAATACCGAGCCATTGTCCATTACACCACCTGCATATCAAAGCTTACAGTACCTGATATTCTCAAGCAGTCACCCATCTAGGACTGGTCAGTTTTGACGTTGCTTAATTACGGTGATCGTACGGTAACCGGTGCTTCAACGTTATGCGGCCCTAATCAAGTTATATATAGATTGATGCATCTGTCTACATTGTGCTTTAAGTCTATATTTTTACACAAAAAAAATTGAAAATGGTCTATACATGTTTAACTGTCTCATTTGATTCAAACATTAAGAAAAACACTTTTCATCAAATCCGGTTAAAGTGGGTTAGGAGTGATTTCTCACAAACAATGACATCCGTTCTTCGCGTGTTGCCTGGGTTTTTCAATTATAAAAAGGTTCTGGCATTTTTTTTTCGCGGCTTAATTTATAATTTCATACACAAAGATTTCTTAAAAGGGTCGTCTTAATATGAATAAGTTGTATTTTTAATATTTAAAATGTATTCATACAAATTTAAAGTATTATTCCTATATCTAATAACTAATTGACTATACATTATTATTTACAAATAAATATTTTAGAATTACATTCGTATTTAAAAAAATTATTAATCAAAGATCAAGTATAAATATCTATGTTTCATCTTCATCTCTTTTTCAAAATTAATCATTATTTAAGGAAAATATTTGATAGTGTCTGCAAAAATAACTAATTCATTTCCTTGATTATGTAAATTTTTATTTTTTAGAAAATTGATGCTGTATAATTTTTCATGTATGCACAAAGGGCATGGATCTTTTAATAATCTAAAAGCTCTAGCTGTTCTTATATATTTCCATTTTACTATTGGTATTTTTTTTTTTTGTTTCTTTTAAGTGCCAGAAATATTTAGATAGGGAAGTTTGATTTCTGTATTTATTATTTTTAAAGGACGTTTGTTGTTGGTTCCATCGCCTTTGGAATTTATGCTTTGTGCATACAGTGTAGATGCTAAGTATATCTGGATGTTCAATAGATTAAACATCATTAAAAAACCAAGACGACACACGAGAAACGGACGTCATTGTTTGTGAGTAAGCATCCCTACCCCACCTTAACTTAACCTGATTTTGAAATAACTTATATTTGATACATATATTGTCTAGGAAAATTAAAACCCAACCACGCTTTATCCAAATAATTGAATTTTCCATAACCTTAACAACTTAAAATTGAGTTTAAGATTGTCTGTGCTTATAAATTAAGTAACTTTCTTAATAGATGATTCCAAAAATCGCTCCAGAAAAACGGAGCTATAGATTTTAAATTTAATTTTATAATTAAATTTAAAATTTAAGTTTCTGTTTTGAAACATGGTAATTCCTGTGTAGCGATGGGACCATATTTTTAAAATAGAGAATAATTATGATATTATACTCTACTGTTTTGCATCGAGCAGTATTTTTTTTATAACAATAATTATCAAGAACACCGGATTGTGTATCTTACTGTTCTTTCTTATTATTTTAAGATATATAGATAGATAGATAGATAGATAGAGAGAGAGAGAGAGATCTGAACAGACTGAAATAGATAGACAGAATGATATAAATAAGATAGAAAGATATATATAAAGAGAATAAGATAAATAAAAGAATGAGAGATAGATAGATAGAATAAGATAGATAGATAAAGAGAATTAGATAGATAGATAGATAGGTAGATAGATAGATAGATAAAGAGAATAAGATTGATAGATAGATAGATAGATAGATAGATAGATAAAGAGAATAAGATAGATAGATAGATAGATAGATAAATAGATAATTAGATAGATAAAGAGAATTAGATAGATAAAAAGAATAAGATAGATAGATAGATAGATAGATAGATAAAGAGAATTAGATAGATAGATAGATAGATAGATAGATAGATAGATAGATAGATAGAATAAGATAGATAAAGAGAATTAGATAGATAGATAGATAGATAGAATAAGATAGATAAAGAGAATTAGATAGATAGATAGATAGATAGATAGATAGATAGAATAAGATAGATAGATAAAGAGAATAAGATAGACAGATAGATAGATAGATAGATAAAGAGAATAAGATAGATAGATAGATAGATAGATAGATAGATAGATAGATAGATAGAAAAAGAGAATAAGATAGATAGATAGACAGATGCCGAAACTAAGATACAACAAAGTCCCCTAACTCTGCTCCATATAAATTTCATTCGGCGTTGAAAAGATACGTCAAAATTTTTTCTGTCATGAATATTTATGGCAAATATTTACAATCCAATTCATGTTCGCATCGTAATAATTTAATGATGAGTCTGTTGAATTAATCATGGCTATCTTGCTCTGCTTATAATGGATGAGATTTTAATTGACGAGTTATCTCTTAATTTGCCACAAATATACATTAATTTGGTAAAATATATCATCAAGATCGTTAATTTTTTCTCGAGTGCTACGAGTGTCATCAATACCACCATTAATTAATATTGTGACATATAGTTGGAATGTATTAAAATTCTAGATGATCAACAACGCATGCCAGAGAAGAAAAAGAAGAGAGAGACGATGGTGGGAAAAGAGATAAATATTTTTTTAAAAAAGAAAGATATTTTTTATTGCCAGGTAGGAGAGAACATAAAAATAAAATTGACCGAGAAGATACTGAGAGAAGAAGGAAATAATGGACATCATCTTCATTGGAAAAAATTAAACGGGAGCAAAATAAAATAATACAAAACAAAGAATTTGAAAGTGAAATAAAAAGTTATTAAAATAATAGTGAAATAAAAGATATTAAAGAAAGAAGAAAAATGAAGGGTAAGAAGGAAATAACGACAAAGAGATGCAATACGGAATAGGCAATAACAAAAAGCAAATAAAGGAAAATGACCATTTGGAAATGAGCAGGAAAATGAGACCGAAATATGTGGAAGATTTGAGGTATTCACTGGAGAGAGTATGAAAGACCTAGAGTAGCGGGATTTTACAGAAAAAGTCATAGGTTTAGTCGGAGTTTCCGAATTTTCTTTAGAGGAAGCGAAAATATGACAACGCGCTAAAGAACAAGGACAGTGAAAAGAACAAGTAAAAAAATGAGAGATGACTATTTCACACATGAAAAAGAGAAAAGTGAAAGCAAGGGAAGACGAAAGTTAAAAAAATCAAGCTTTTTTGAATAAGTACCATCTCCGAAGGTAAACACACACACACACACACACACACACACACACACACACATATATATATATATATATATATATATATATATATTTTTTTTTTATTTTATACCTATACTCATGGGGTGATGAAAAAAAAAGTTCTGATGATCGTTAGGTGAAACGTAGGTAGGTAGATTCTGGCTCTTTAGGTTTTTAGTTATATATATATATATATATATATATATATATATATATATATATATATATATATATATAAAACCTTAAAGATCCTTTTCGGTTATAATTTATTTCGTGAATATTTCTATATATTCATCTCTTCAGTGCGAAAGTTCTTAATAAATGCAGACAATTTCTCCAGACTGATATACTAGATTAACAGGAGAAATGGAAAGCAAGAGAGAGAAGAAGAAACGGGGTGAGGAAGAAAGAAAAATAACCGATTTTAGAATAAAATTCTTTTTAAAACTTTTAATAGAGAGAGAAAGAGAGGTGGGGAGAGAGAGAGCGTAAAGGAAGGGATAGGAAAGAAGGAAGAAATGAAAGAATAGTAGTAAAAATAAAATAAAATGACCTGGCCAAGAATTTTTTCCTTAAAGTCTTGAAAGTTTGTACATCGCTTTATGTGGTGTGTGATCAGATTTGAAAGAAATACTGAAAATTGACCGATATAGCCTGTTGTTTTAGGCAGGACAAATCAACAAAATTTCAAATTAGTGTGTCTAATAAAGAATAACCTTAATAAAATAATTAGAAGAAGATGAAGGAGAAAAAGAAGATAAATGAATTACTTAAAATAAGTATATTAAAAGGATTTTTAATAAAGAACAATATATATATATATATATATATGTCAGAAGGACAATTGAATCCTTTATTTTTATTTTATTTTTCAGACGTGTATTGAGTAAAAGGAGTGTCAGAGAAAAGCGATAATAACATAACATAACATAATATATATATAATTAAAAAATATTTATATTATAATAAAAAGAAAGAAATAATTACCTCAACATGGTGGAGAATATTAATACTAGCAGTAAAAAAATCACAGACAAACTGAAGATTAGTGATAGAGTAGGTAAACTAAATGAAAAAGAGTGCTATATAATCTTAAAGGACCACAAACCTGATTTCGAGGCTAATCCGACTACAAGGATAATAAACCCAACAAGATCTGAGCTCGGAAAAATTAGTAGATCCTAGAAAGGTTTAATCAACAAATTAAAGAAAAAATAGGCCTGAAACTTTGGAATAATAGCAAAGACGTGACAAACTGGTTTACTGATATAAAGGATAAAACGAACTGTACACTAATGCAGTTTGATATTAAAAATTATTATCAATCAATATCAAAAGAACTGTTCATGAATGCGTTGGACTTTGCTACCCAGTACACGGATATTACTGAAGAAGAAAAGAGCATTATTATAAAAGCGAAAAATTCGGTACTGATACATAAAGCTGAGCAATGGATAAAAAAATTCTTATGACCATTTTGACATCACAGTAGGATCACTAGACTCAGCTAAGTCTTCTGATCTTATATAGGTCTTTTTATATTATACAATCTCACAGCGTACCGTGAAATTAATATAACTGACATTGGTTTATACAAGGACGATGGACTTATGGTTATAAAGAACTCTACTAACTTTAAAATCCATAAAATTAGAAAGATATTATATAAAGAATTGAAAAGCCTGAACTTAAAAAATACTGTAAGCACTAAATTAAAAAAAGTTAACTCCCTTGATATAACATTAGATTTAATGAAAAATGTATACATACCTTATAAACAAACCCAATACCAATCCTTTATATATACACACTAAATCTAATCATCCTCCATCTATATTAAGCATATACCTCGATCTATCGAAAAAGGAATAAGTATAAATTCAGCAAATGAGAACATTTTCTATGAACATATTAATTTCTATAATAAAGCTCTAAAAGTTATTGGCTACAAAAACCCAAAACTAACTTATATAAAAAAGGAAAATGGAAAGCATAGAAAAAAAAAACAGAAATAGAAAAATAATTTGGTATACACCCCCATACAACTAAATGGTAAAGAACAAATTAGGACAAAAATTCCTTGCATTAATCGTTAAGCACTTTCCTAGAGATAGCAAAGTAAGTACTATTTTTAATAAAAAAAAACACTAAAATTAAGTTACAGCTGTACTGAAAACTTAGAAAAAATTATTAAGAACATAATACTAATATCTTCAATAAACACTTAGACCAAAACCAAAGAAATTTAGACAATATAAAAATAAAAATAATGAGATGAAGATAAACAAAAATTATGTAACTGTAGAAATCCTCATAACTATCCTCGACAAAATAAATGTCGCACGGAATCATTAGTATACCATTGCAATATCTCATCTATTGAGAATCCTGAAAACATAAGAATCGATATAGGTTGCACAAGCCATGAGTTTAAAAAGAGGTTCAATCAACATCAAACTTCATTTAGTATAAATAAATACCGAAATCACACATCACTTTCGAAATATTTCTGGCACTTAAAACAAACCAATAAAACACCTACAGTAAAATGGAAATTAATAAGAAAAGCTAGAATATGTAGGTCATTAAATGCCCCATGTCCTTTGTGCATACATGAGAAAGTAAATATTACTAAGTTTATAAAAATAAAAATTTACTGAATCAAAGAAATGAAATAGTTATTCTTTGTCGTCATTGTCAAAAATTTTCCTTAAATAATATTTTAAAATAAAATAAAAAATTTAAAAAAATGGGAGCTGGTAATATGCATACTTATATTTGATATGAAAAAATATTTTTTAAATAATTTAAGTAATTCTATTACATTTACTTGATTTAAAAAGAAATATAGTCTATTAGTAATTAAGAGTAAAAATAATGAGTCTGTCTATGTTTCTAAGATAAGGTATTAAGTACATTATTTACATTATTCGGACTATTGTCCTCATCTTTGTCACCATATTTATCACAATGTTTCGGCCGTTGTACCTCAAGGACACATGGCACAGTGGATAAAGGCGTTGGTTAGATCCAGTGACAGGACCCAAAGAGTGTGAGTTCAATACCCGGTTAAGACAGTGGAGAACTTTCAGAGGGAAATTAGCAGATATCTGATAACTGACATCCATCAAACATGGCACGTGGAACTAGAACAGTCTACCCCCGTGAGTGAAATAAAGGGTTCAGTTCGAAATTCCAACCACCTGAAGAAGGCCGGAGCGTACAACGGCCGAAACGTTGTGATAAATATGGCGACAAAGATGAGGACAATATTCCGAATAATGTAAATAAAGTAAAAATAATATTTTAAAATTGTAGTTAAATATAACGTATCCTAACCCAAACATCCTTTTTAGAAAGAATTTTTACGTATACAAACACGAATTTAATGAAAAAAAATGCGGAAAAACTTTTTGTCGTTAATAAAACAAAAAAAAATCAAACGACATGCGTTTAACGGATGTCAGAATTCGTTGAAAAAGGCACCCCTACCCTCCCTAAACTTAAACTCTTTTTCGAACGTAACTCATTGTGGATACAACAATAGTTAATAAAAATGAACATGTCTAAATGACTGGATTTCTCTGTATCCTTGGAAACATGGAAACAGAAATTTATGAATTTATATGTGCGTTTAAAACTCAGTAAATTTTAAAAATAAGTTATTCCAAAATTCGCTTGAAGATGAAATAGAACTAATTCTTTTAATTTAATTATATAATTAAATTTGAAGTTTTTAGCTTCGGTTTTTGAAACATGCTTATTTATTACTGTATAGCGAAGAAACCATATTTTAAATCATATTAATATATATATATATATATATATATATATATAGACTATCCCGTCGGTTTCGACGTATGAGGATCCGACAACTTAACCAATTGATTCAGCTACGAATTTTGTGTGATAATCTTAAGTGGCACTTAAGACCCGCTAATGATTTACAAAGGAGGCCGTATATGAAGCCAGAGTGAGGATTGTGGGATGAGGTCACTGTTACATTGGCTGACCTTTTAGATCTTGCTCTCGCTTCTAGAAGACGATTCAAACTAACAGATTGAAAACTGCTGAGTCCACTAAAACACGTTGATTTCCACTCTACTCTCTCCAACGCTAAGCGCTCGAGGGTGTTTTGCGGTATATTGAAAGCTGACATGTTGCTTTTCAGCTTGTCTTTGTATCTAAATTCCTGTAGCCCTGATCTAACTGGCCGTACATTAGGACCTTGGGTGTCCTGTCATCAAACATTCTCAGGTCGTGACCAGTTCACTGCAACTGAGACAGTATGAGGAAAGTTTCGATTCTTCCAATATTACACCTGTTAAAGATAGGATGTCCTGTCTTGAAGGTTATCTCCACAGATAGCAAGCAGACAGCTGGCGTATATGGTACCTGTATGGAGTTCACGACTTTAGGACGTACAAAAGAAGAGCAAGGACAATAGCTGTAAACCTAAATTTTTGTATCCGATCGGATAGCCCGCTTATCCCACAAACGATGGCGAAGTTTGCTAAAACTATTGGTAGTCTTAATAATCCTATGCAAGATTTCGTCATCTAAAGATCCACTGTAGTTGATTTTGCGACCAAAATAAGTGAAAGACTTTACATATTTCAGGCTTTGTCTTCTACTTTTAATGGTCTCTCTGGAAATTTGTCGAATGCTGGTTTTTGTTTCCCACCACAGAATTGCTTCGGAATAGAACAAGGTTGATGAGTCTAGGACTGAGAAATTTTCAGCACTTCATCATATATAATTAGCCATTTCATGTTTACAATATGTGTAATAATAAATATTGA